CAGGATTTATCTGTGGCGCCCTCAGGCCTTGTTGCAATGCTCCTCTGCCAGACTGTTAATGCATGCACGTTTATGCCAAACGTGCTTCAAGGACGCCTGCTTTCACTATCTGATCGGATTTTCTCTCGGTAAGCCTTCATTTCAGCAGTCCTACGATGTACAACCGTTTTAACAAGCACTTCTTAGATTAACGTCAGGGTAGAATATTACTTTTACTTGAATCTGCATTTAAACTAAAGGTCTCAAATAGTTTTTTAATAGCCTGCAGTTGCTTTAAACCAACCTCTCAGTGAACAAGGCGCTTGTTTATTGATGACATGCATCGGACGGAGACCTCACCTCGCGTCATCCACCAATCGCGATCGACCTAATCGAGTTGGCCATTAGTCGTGGAAGGCGAAAAAGGTAGTGAGGGCACTCTAGCTTGAGTCCAGCGCTTAGCTTCCTTACAGTAAACGCGCTGTTATGTCAAGACGCATTGTTATTGACGTTTTCGGTGGTTGAAAACGGAGGTTGCAAAACTGAGTGTCAGGCTGCAATGTCTCCTTCTTGTGCGTTTTGTGACTCTGGTAGGACTGACTTTAGAGGCTCTAAATCCAGTCGACTTATTATTTAAAACACTACTTTTAAATTTTCAGTAGCCCGACTTTACTTTTTAGTTAGATTCTACCAATGGGAGGTCGAATTTCCATTTTCTTTAAATTCTGCCTACATAACATCGAATTTCCCTCAATTGGCATCCGTAACCTGCGTAATCGGGGTTCGTGTTGATGGAATTTTATTTTATTTTAGTATATTAAAACAAACAATCTTATTTGATTTAATATTTTTGACCACTTCCGCCACAATTAAATATTCATCTACACTCACTAGCCAAGAATTAAGTATTTGACCACAAAATACGTTAAGCAGTTGAGTAGGGGGAATAGATATTTAAAGGGCCCTACAAGTCTGTTTTGCCGTGATTCTTACTTATGCGAGTTCTGAGATCGCCATGTCGGAGCCTGCGCCTTGTAAAGTTAGGGGTTTAATACGAATTGTATACTCTAATAGTGGTCGGTACCTAGTATTCAATCCCAAGCTATATCGGGCGAATAATAAACCTATGGATTAAGGAGACGTTATCAAACAATAGCTTAAGTTCTACGACGCCTTTATGTCGCAAGGCAGTGTAATTTGCCATTTCAGGCTAACTGTAGACTTACTACAGTATCGAGCTCTACCTTAGAATTTACAGAACGTCTCCTGTATACTCGGTGTGCAGCCTGCTTCTATGTTGTATCACCATCTGAGTGATAAGACATGTATCCTATATTTGTAATGAGCATAACAGGTAGGACTATGAGCTTACCAGCTTCCTCATCTTCACCCGAGGTGGCTATTTAAGACACCCGGGCTGTTCTGATGATGGTTTTGGCATGCACGCTGTCCCTGTACTGGGAGCGCAGACCAGCAGATACAAGCAGATTTACGACGTAATTTGCCGTTGAGGGCAGCTTTGCTGTCTTCACGAGCGGTGCCCGGTGTGGATAGGCCCTGGCGCCTTTCACCGTTAGGCCTAACAATTATCATTGATATTTGCCAGGGAAAATCAATGTTTTTCATTTTCTATGTTGCTTATACATATCTCCGTGCAAGCAACTGACTAAAGACTAGACATCTGCTAGTTCTACACTTCTATCCACTTAGTGCTTAGTATTTTTGGAAACCTCTAAAGATGATCAATGGAACTTACTGCTTCCTGGTCCCTCACGTCTCTGCCATGAAGGGGTTATCTTGCAAATTAAACGTTTTAGTGCGTCAGTTTAAACCTGCCTTCCGACGCTCATACTACTTTCAGCTTTGAGTCCCTTGGTGTGGATCGCCGAAAATCGCTGTTCGATTTCATCTGACGACATTTCCATTCGATGTTTTGCTCTAAACAGTGTCTTGCATTTCCCTAGCAGGTCACTCTTCATGCCTGTACGCCTCTTTTTTTTCTGTTCAACATTGGTACTGCTGGCACGGCCAATTAATTAATGCAACTAGCAGCCTAAAATGAAACCCATTTTACCAGTCCCTGTCCACGTTTATTTTTATAATTCACTAATAGTGTTTCTCCATTCGGCTTCCCTTTCTACCCTCGCCCTCCCAAGATGCTGTAGTGATCTCTTTGACCAACAGGCACTTGGTTGGCTCCTGCGCCTTCTTCGATGGTCCTTGGCAACAGCCTTCACTTCTCAGTCCTCGCAGAATGCTCTTATTAACATTTTCTTTAACCACTACTCGAGCCTCCTCAAATTATGGCCCAAGTTTCGCGACGTTACCTCACAGAGGTCAGCTTACGTTTCCTCAGCTGACCCCTCTCTCTTCTCCTCCGACGACTTCGTCATTTGTGTGAGTTTTTTTCTTTGTGAATGAGTTTGTACCTACTGAAGAAAAGGCCAAACTAGTGCAGGCACACCTGACTGTTTCCCACTTTAGGTGAATGAATTTCTTGGCGATGCATTTGCGCTCGACGAGCTGTTTGCCTCTTCGCCAGTGGCCAAAAGAATTTTCCCTCAGAAGTCCAACTTTAGACCAACGCTTAACGCGCATGCTCTAACGGATCTCTTTATGTCGAATAAGCCTCTGCTGCTGTATGACGCGTCTTTTAGGCAAGACAGCCCTGACACTCTCGCGGACCCTTGCTTTATTCACTCCGATGCCTGTTTCTTGGTGGATGAGCCTCCGACACTTCTTCCCCTTCCTACATCCACACCCACGAAGAAGGACCGTCTCCACGTCAATGCCATCGAAACCAGCCGGGAGTTGCTCTGCCTTTGTCGTTGGATTTTGAACATCTGCCTCCTTCGGTTTTCCCGCTCTGGTGTCTCCCCCTCCAACGAGAATGATGATGTCACCATGAAACAGAGCTGCACCTTTGTCTCCACGGTGGTGCAATTCTACGCGCTGGAATGCCGTCGTTTTGCGGAGCGAGTTAGCTTTTTGGCCGAGGAATCTGTTCAGGCGCAGGTTCTCTCTATGTGGGATTTCTTCGGAACCTGTGCCGCTGCTCTGTGTGTCGCCAGGAGTCCGTCTGTTGTAAAGTTGACTGGGGTGAGCGAAGTCTATGCATTTGCACCTCCGCGCAACTAACTAAACGTGTATTGGTGGTTTTTGAATCCGCATATGGAGCATAGGGAGGGAGGTCCTTTATAATAGGGTAGAGTTCGTTGCTCTCCAATTTGCCTATGAAGACATCAGCTAATAGAGGTCCAAGGGGTGATCCCATCGCTACGCCATCGATTTGGCTTTAAAATTGGCCATTAAAGCTGAATTAAACATCGGAAAAGCAGTTCCTTTAGATCTCCGACCGGCATGCCGATTGGAAAGGCCTGTTCAACAATCACCTGGCTGATTATCCTAAGTTCAAAAGGGAAAGGCATAATAAGGATTAAACCGAGAGCGTGGAATCTCAGCTCACAACTTGTCTTCCGAAACTGAAGGACCAAGGTTTCCTTAGTGAACAAGAGTTAGAAGCACTCAAACCCACAGGCACAGTCCCTCTAAGGCTCTATAGTTTGCCCAAGATTTACACACCAGGCGTTCCAATACGGCCAATAACTGGTATGTGCAATTCACAATATCATGCAACTGCAAGGTGGCTGGCTGAAAACCTGAAACCGATTTGGAACCAAATAGCGCCACACAGCCTACGGGATACTTTTGAATTCGTCGAGTCCATAAGAAACACAAATCTCAATGGGAAAACCATGTTGTCCCTAGATGTCGCGTCTCTTTTCAGTAACATTCCCATCACAGAAACCATATAAGTTCTATGTGACGAGATTGTCAAACAGGACTCTCCAATCGGCATGCTGGTCGGAGACGTAAAGGAATTTCTCCTCCGCTGCACGCTAAATGTGCAATTCAGCTATAATGCCCAATTTTACCGCCAAATCGATGGCGTAGCGATGGGTTCATCCCTTGGACCTCTATTAGCTGATGTCTTCATGGACAAACTGGAGAGCAACAAACTCTACACCATTATAAAGGACCTTCTTTCCTACATTTTTGAATCAGTGATGCCACAGCACTTCTATTTCAATAAATACGGTGCCAAAAGACATCGCTGTTTGTCGTCAGGAGGAGTGTAGAGAAGGCAAAGTTAACAGAAGTTGGCATCAGCCGTGCCACTCTCTGATGCCCTGTCAGTGCCCTCCCCCGGTCACTGTTCTCAATCCTTTACGTTTTGCCTACTCTCCTGCGGACTCGAGCTGTAATATTTACCTCTCCGCTTCGTCTTCAGTCTATGTTTTTATCTTCACTTTGTTTAGACTCGAGACCTTTTGGAGCCCTTGAAGGGTGGTTCCGAACCGTCTTTGACTACAAGCAGATCGCAGGTGGATCATAAGTCCCTCCTCTTTACACATGATTCGTCACCATACATTGTTGCCGCCAGTATGATACCCAGGGATGAAAAAACGGGTTGGCTGTGGTGAGTGCCGTTGTCCGTCAGCTTTTTAGCACTTAAATAAACTAGTTTAAGTGGTCTGCATCTGCTTTAAGAGCATCATTACAGTAGTTCTACTTTTTCCGTCCTTTTCGAAGCCTTTTCACCTAAATTTTTAGTTGAGTGAAGCAATTACTAGCGGCTTTACTTTCTTTCTTATTCCGCAGGTATCACGCACCTTTACGGCCCATTGGTTGTCCCACCCTTGACTTCTCCTATAACCACGAATTCCGTAAGGAACTTAGGCGAGAGAACTCTTGCCATTAGGCAACCCCACAAGAAAGCTTTACCATTATTTCTTCTATTCACTTGGATTATCGCTGAGTACTGGCGGCTAAC